GCTCGGGCCCGCGGCAGCCCGGCCCGGATGAACCAGCGCCGCGACCCCTCGGGTGGGGCCCGGAGTTGGCGCAGCTCGCACTGCACCCCACAGGGTTCCGAGGTGGAATCTCGGAAATGCCTACGAGCACAAACAAAAACTTTGCCCTAAATTGCAACTGAGCAGGGTTTGGGGGAGAGAAAATAGGCGGCTCAGCCTTTGGCAAGTTTCTTTTCTCCCGGCTCGGAAATTTGGATCTTTTGCGTTGGGGGGGAAAAATCCAAAATGGAAAATTAAAAAATTTTATTGGTCACTACTCGTGAGTCAACTAAAAGCAAGGATAATTAGAGTGTGGGGAATTCGAGAGATCATAAATCTGCGGCGCCTTTTCCACTGGAGTCGGGAGCCTTTATGGCTTGTTGACTTTTATTTTGAGAGAAATGAGGTCCAGGGCTTTGGTGGACGCGGGTCTGTGCCCCGCGCGCCACGCGGGACCGAGAGACTACGCGCGCCCGGGGCTGTGGTCCGCGGAATGAAGGTGGTCACACGGGCTGCACGCTTTACCCCAAGGAGGTCTCTTCCCAAGCCCAGGTACTTTTTCTCTCGGCCAAGCAGAGGAATCAACTTTCCTCCCAGTCCAGACTCCAGGAAATATTCCTGTGTGCGCCGGACAGAATCGGGAGGCGAGGAATTTTTATAAAGTGCTCCATCCCAGTTGGGGCTCTCAAACCTCTAGCCTATCCTGCACCCCTTGGCCTCGGCCTTTTGTTCTCATTTACTGGGGGGAGGACACAAAACTACTCCCACCATACATCACCAAATTATTTAACTTTCAATCTTCTGCAAAACGGCCAGGGGGCTGATTTCACTCCATAGGGGTCTTTAATCTCACCGGCTGGAGGTTATTTTCCAAATTCCCACACAACTAGGACCCTTTTCCTCTTCTGAAAATCTTTCAGCAAAACCTCCCCAGCAAACATCTGAAATCCTATTAATCGGGTAAGAAAGTGCGGAAGCCCTGGCTCAGCTGTCTCTAATTCTGGGATGAGAAAGTGAATTTTTAAAGAAACTCTAAAAATAAAAGCTCCTTTCCCTCTAGTTCTCTTCCATCTTCCCTTTGTTGGTGGGGGGGACGGGGGCGGGAAGACCTGAAGTCTGCAATCTGAAGAGTTCTCCCCCCAAATCGGTTCTCCGAGTTCTTTTGTTTGAAATGGGCATGGGGGAGGGGAAGGAGTCCGCTCCAGGCCGACTACTGGCCTCCTCCGACCGGAAAACCCCAAAGTCCACAGGCCTCTCCTAGCCGCAAGCCCAGGCTTCCTGGGGCCAGAAGTGGGTCGTTCCAGGGCGAAGGAAGCTCCTAGCCCAGCAGCCGACAAGGTCGGGCCTTTCCGGTCCCAGGCTTCCTTCGACACCCTCTTCCAAATCGAGCCTGCCAACTCGGAAAAGAATCCGAGTTTTCCAAGAGCAGAGGTGGGGACTGAAGAAACAAAGCCCGTTGTCCCAGCTGAGGCCCAGGCTGGACGCACAGTCTCGGACCGGGAGAAGAGGGCCGCAGCTTTCCAGAGGGGCCCTGTTCCTCCTGGCCTCGGAGAGAGTAGAGGGGCGCCCCGGTGGCAGCTGTACGGACACTAGATGGGGGTCCACGCCGCATAAAGACACGTTTACAGCGAACGGCTTACACACCAGCCGGGTTTATTCGTTCCCTCCCGAAAGTGCGCTCTGGGCGCGCGGGAAATAAGGAAAACGCACGTACCTGGCGGTGCTCCGAGGGCGGCCTCGCGGGCCTTCCGCTGGCGAGAGGCCCCTCGAAGCCACTCCCCACCCGGCTGGTGGCCCCAAGGCCCGTCCCA